ACACGAATCTCATTTTCACTCGATGACGATTCTGCCGTGTCTGCATTGACCGGGATGATCCTGGTTCATCAAGCCAAGCGCTCCCTTCTCCTCGCTAAGTTGCATTAACCAATAACAGCAATGCGTTATATCACGTGATGAGTTGTACCGGGAAGATGGCTGATTCAAAAACCAACTCAACGTTAAGACGACGATATCAGAGGCGTATCTTGTAACTCCCCATGGTAACACGAGGAACTTGTACAATCTCCTGAAACGTGACCACAAAACATAAGTTCTAAAAACAACAAAGGCGCGTTTTACAGGTTCGCATTTGGAGGAGGAAAGGTTAACGTGCATAACTACAGACAGTGGATCAAGTGTTGTGAATGTGGCCTCTGAAATATTCGACGTGGACTCAGTGTTTGGGCCAAAGGCGACATCTGGCTGTAGGTGAGCTTTGTATTTAGCTTGCTAACAGCTAACGTGTCCAATAATCAGCTGTCATTAGCTGCATCCAAACTAACGCGACTTTTTCTCCCTTGTGCTATGTTATAGCAAGCTAATGTAGTTAGCTAAGGCTTCTGCAAACATCAAGATGCTTGACATCTAGTGTCAGGAGCCCTGTTTCCCCTTGTTAACTGCTAATACCTCACGTCTTATCTAATTTTGCCTTCTTAAACTTCGGGATTTTTTTGTTCGTCAGCTATTTAAAATGTAAATTCAGGGTCCTTTGCCTTGTACATCCTGCCACAGTTACTTTTAGACAATTTTTCTTTCTTCCAAACACCCAATTGTCAGAGATACCTTCACCCAATACAAAGTCAATGGAGAACGAGGAATTTGCCGCGCCGCCCCGCCCCCGTCCAATGGGCGTGGTTTAAGGAGTATGACGTGTATAAGGTCATGTTAATAAGAGAGCATTCATTGGTCAAGAATCGTGAGTGAGAAAAATCTGCTATAACATAGCATCTGAGAAAAAAATATCATGATTCATATCTTACTCTGGATCGTGCATCCCTACATGCACGTGTATACAGGTGTGGAAGTTGTGTCATCCTCTTCCCACCCAGGGCGTGCGAGTCTTGTGAGTGTACAAGCACGCTCTCCCTGAGGTCAGTGGCTGCTGTGATAATGCTTAACTGATGCTGCCTGTCAATAGCCATTCACCAGGAGAAAAGTGCCCCGCCTGTTCAGTAAATTACACAGTGCGACGTGAGCTGTGAGGTTCAAAACAATCTGACCCCACTGTTGTTGGGAGAAACAATAGAACAATGACTGCAATCAGCTTTTCTAGCAGCCATCTGTGTCATGCTGCTGACTACAAAACACCTTTCCATTACTCCAGGGCTGCAGCTATTAGCTCACCATGCCACTGACTCCAAAGTGAGATGGAGAGGTTATTGTAATGGTGCATTAGATTGTCTCTGACCCTTCTTTATCCAGTGTTTTGTTTTTGTTTTTCTTTTTGACCTTGATGTAGGAGAGCTTTTTGAATGCTATAAAGCTTCGGAAGTATTCATTTCTCCCAGTGGTTTGTTTTTCCACCGATGAGCTTGTTTGTGATGTGATTATATTTGTGGTTACAATGAGTTTTAGTCTATGTTGAGACATGACTTTCCTTTTTCCTTGACCCTATATTTCTCACGGCTTCTGCAAGCATGCCCGGGAGCAGTATGAAAAACTGTCCACCATGCACAAGAACATGCAAAAGCTCTACGAGAGCATAGGCAGCTATTTTGCCTTCGACCCTCACTCAGTCAGCGTGGAGGATTTCTTCGGCGACCTGGCCAGCTTCCGCATCCTCTTCATTGTGAGTACATACAGAGTTTATGGTTTGTGTATATGCGCATGAAAAGTCTCATGTTTAACTGTTCTTTCAGAGGAGACACGGACTATCAGAAGCCACCACCCACACATGCACAAGCTCTGGCACACGCTTTCACATGCTTAAACATATTGGGTGCCATTGAAATAGGAACAAAATTTGTGTACACATACACACATTTTTGTCACATTTTCAGTAGGTCCTGACAGATGGTGAAAATGTGGATACATTACAGTGTTATACTAATGTACTCTAGTGATTTAATGTTGCATGTACAATTGGGAGTCATATGAGGGACAGATTAAAAATATCAAACTCAATCGGCTGCAGAGGGCAAGACATCCTAACTTTTAGTATTGGTCATTCCCCCCCCCCATAATGCAGTGTAATGGCGTCTTTTTACTAACCCTCCCCATGTGGGAAATGCCCGTCTACTTCAGTTTGTAACTCAGGGTCGCAGTCATAATTTTACTTCATATTGTTAAACCATATAATTTCAGTGACATCACTGTGACCTCATCAAGGTTATTTTCTCAGAATCATTTAAAACCACAGAAGACATCATACAACTTTAATCTGGAAGTGAGCAACAAGGGTAGGGACATTGCTCTTTCAGTCATCTGATAGTCCACCAAGATTTTTTTTTGAGCCTGCCTGCTGCTAGCTTCATTTCTAGGGGTGATGCCAACAGTTTGAGAAAGTTCACCGTGTGTTGTGGCCACTTATTTTGGACTTGGTTGGCCCTGACACATATTTCAGACTTTCTTTTAAGATCTTGCACTGTTCTCTGTAAGAATGTAACTGTGCTCACCTGCTGTGTGACTTCCCTTCATATGTCATCTTTTAGTAGGTCATAATGCCACTTGTGTCTGCCAAAGAATTTTTAAACTAACCTCTTTTTGTTACAGAAGTTTTTTGCTTTCACTTTCCTCAATGCCAGCTTACTCTGCAAAGTTGTGAATATAAAACTTATTTTTTGCCAAATATGGTGTTTCAGAGGAGGAATTTGATTCATTTTAATTTAATACCGGTCCAATTAACATGCTAGCCTTTCTCAGACAGAAGCACGCCATATGCAGATACATTCCCAAAATTTCACAAATGACACCCACTGTTTTTAACACATATGAATACTGAAGTACAGAGGTGTGTAAATTAAAATATACCGTAGGCTGCGAATGAGGCGATGCAGAAACTGCTCTGGTAAGAAAATAAAGCCCTGTAATGCAGTTTGCTCTCTAGGTTATGTAACTCGATTACTATGTTGTGCAAATTTCTACAATGCAAGTAGAGAGTATATATACCTGAGAAAGGTTTTCCACTGAGGTAAATATTAAATATGAGTCTCTAGATACAAGTAAAATACAAAAAACCCTTCTGTTTCTAGTCTGAGAGCAGTGAATAAAGCACACTGGCCAAGCAGATTAGCTGTTAAAGAGCGAGGTAAACACCACATTATCTCAGAAGATTTCCTTAAAAGATAAGTCTTTTAAATGTTTATTCAAGTGTTTTTGCTTTTCTACCTGCTTCAGTCTACCCATGCCTCCGTGGGCTGCCCCCCAAAAATTTCCAATGTCAAGATGATGGCATGGTGTCCAGAAGACATGATCTCAGTCTTCGCTATCCCTTAATGTGAATGGCAAGGTCCCCTTGTCTGAATCCTTCTCCTCTCTTAACTCTGATCCCCATTTGAAACCAGCTTTTCATTCCCACTGATCAAAGTGCACCAGCACACAGCACTCCCTCAAGGTTTCCAAAGTTGTATATCTCTAAAAGAAGCATCCATGCAAGAAAATAAATAATTCTCTCAAGCAAATGGCTGCATATTAATATTTATTACTGATTTAAAAACTCCTGCTATGGATAAAGACAGGGAAGTGAGTGGGATAAAGTGTTGTGGTCAAAATGGGCGGGGGTTGGTTATAAATTAATGTATTCATATAAATACAATCCTTTAATCACATTTCATCAGATATTACTTATAGTTTTTGGCTCTTCAGCTCTGACAGAAAGGATAATAACATCTGCTTGCAGAGCACAAGGAACCTGTTTCTGCTTGACTATTGTAATAACTACTGAGCTGGCTCCTCTTCCTCAGCTTTTCTTGACAGTGAAGGAATCCTGGGGAGTTCTGCTACAGTAGGTGTTTGTCTTTGACAGAGTTGGCCTAGATCAACCATTACTCTTATGTTCCAAATGCCAAATCAAATGAGCGCTATGACATTTAGTCAGGTAATAATTTAAAAAAAAGCTCTGATTTAAACTTCTTGATACGCCTTGGTGCGACTCAGACATTTACTACAGTACTGAGACACTGAGTTGTTTGGCTCAGACACAGTGTCTTTGCTAACCTCATCGATGTTGTATTGCCCTCTGCATTCACAGCACAAGGCATCTGCTGTATTAAAGAATTCCACAGCAGTACAGTCACCCTAAATTGTCTAAAAAACTAGGGCTTAATGCATCTGACCGACATGAGGTATTTGAGTAAACACATCGACAGGCAGTCCTCTCAGAACTGAATGTAACTGATAAGAGAATCCATTAACTCTGTTTTCCTTCTGTTTCATTCTCTTTCTCTCCCTGACTCCCACCCCATTCTTTTTTTTTCTGTGGCCAGTGAAATATTGTTTGATTTCAGAACATGGAGTCAGTATTCGAAGAGTCCAACAATTTGTTAATTTAATGCTGATGCTATATACTGAAACAGAGTATGAGTGAAATGCAATTGCAGGGTCTGTATGTGTAATCCTGACCAGGAGCATGGGGGAATGAGGATTTTTCCATTAATGAGTTATCAAAGCGCAGCAGATGGGCTGGGATGAGCTAACACTCCTCCTTGTTAATTGAGTGACTTTCTAATAAGACCACAAGACCCAGACCGGGTTTGCAAAGTAGCAAGATAAAGTATCTAAGAGATTACAATGATAACTTGTGTGTGTTTCTGTGTGTGAGGCAGCAGCCATGCATTTTTGAGCCCATTTGATAAGCTTCCTAATTCCTCCACAATATGACAAATAATCATAATTGTGCTGATCACTGGTGAAGATGATGCTCTGACAGTGCCACTCTCCCCACCTTCTTGCTGAATCACTGTTATGTTTCCTCAGTATTTTTCACTTACACAAGCGCGATACAGTCAAAATTATGGCGCCATATTTCCGATGTCACCTGTCAATATGAGAATACATCTAGACCACAGAGCAGAAGTGTCACAGTCTGTAACCTATAACTTTTTGAAGCCGCTTCCTCCCTCATGCAGACACTCTGTATAGCAGATGGCTAATAAATACAATTACCGCTTAAAGCCCAGGTGCTATAGTTTATGTAAAATTCAAATGAGATATAGCAGTGACATTCTCTGTGTGAGATTACTGGTGCAGCAGAGCGGTTGGAAATACTCATTGCTCCCTCATTGGCCTGGCAAACTTGTATGCATGAGAGGGGAGTCATGCTGTGGGTGATGTATTGTGTTGTGCAGGGTCAAGGAAGAACAGCAAACACATTTCATGAATTATTTAAAGAACAGACCTGCAAAGGGAAAATGCTGTCTGGCCTTTGTTGGTAGATTGGACCAGTGGGTTGCACAAAATCCAGTTTTTCAGCCAGGCAATGACAGAGGAGTACTTATAATTTCCATCTTAGACACACTGCGGGCCATGAGTGTGACACGCAGTACGCTCACGTCGTCTCTTGGCCTCTATGAGCCTGAAAGTGAGGATGTGCTGCTTCAGTAGTGTTGTTGACAACCCTACCTGGCATTTTTCTCTCATTGAGAATTAAAATATTCTAATTCTGAATTTACATATCCCACTGTGTAATGTGTTTACAGTAGCTGCACTACAATTTCTGCTTTTCATCCGAGGGGTTCATGGCACAGAGCCAGTCATTAACATGGCACCTGAACTGTAGAATTTAATTGTTTTGTTTAAGGGTTATTAGGCAGAGTCCTGGCCATTAAGGACAACATCTATCATGGTGTATAATCATGAGGGAAGAATCTTTTGACCTTATGTATTAGTTTGTGCAGAGATAAACTTATGTCTTTTTATTGCTTCCTTCAATTCCTCAGGGATGCAAAATTGTCACCTTTTGGGGAAATTCACAGTTTTTATGTCCAAAGTAGTCATCCACATGAATTTTGTAGATCTGCAATAAAACCTTTAGGGCAGGGGTGCCTGTTAATGTGTAAATACATATTTGATGCCTTCAGCTGCTCTGTATACAGCGTATTTACGTTACGTTTACCTTGTATACTGAGCATCTTTGGTACAAACATTTCTTTGAGGATCACTATAGTTCAGCCTTATAACATTAATTAGGCTGCCTCTCGAAACTGCTTTTATAAATTTAGTGCCTTTCATAAGTTGAACAGTAAAAAGAGATCACTAACAGGACTGAAAGGATTAAATAAGCAAACGCACTACTCAATTCAAGTTGGATAGATAACTGTCTCCAGGGGCACCATTTCCCCCCAAAATAAAAGTCAACGTAGAGCCCTTCCCTGATTGTCATAACTTGTTCTCTCAGTAACTTTTCTCTTAAGCTATTCTAGTGTCTTACATTATTTCCAAGCATGGTCTGGTTTTTTATTTTTATTTTTATTTATTTATTTATTTTTTTTGATGAAAACTTTATGGACCCTCACAACTTTGCACCTTGGAATGTATTTATTTATTTTTTCTCCTTTTTAAAAAAAATGTGTATTTTATATTCACACATCGTGCACCTCCATTACAATATTACTGTTGTAGATTGTTTTCATCTGAACACATACAATATTTAAACGTTCATTAGGTGGTACTATAACTATAGTGATAAACCTTTCCTGAGGGGCTGAGAACAAAAGGTAAACGCCAAAAATAAATTGTCCATGATCACCTGGAATAACCTGAAACCATACTCTGCTGTGTGCTATGATTAGATTAGATTAGATTAGATTAGAGTACTCAAGTGACAGAATGAGATGCAAGGATTTTTCTAGACCTGTTTTCAACACCGTTGGAATTCATACATAATATTTGAGCAGAGAGAACCAGATCTTTTCTCTTATGTTCCAATTAGGTTTAAATCTCATTCTCTACATTGAAGGTTATTTTTGAAAACACATCTCATGAGAATTGTATATCTCTTGTGTGGCCTCCTACAAAATACAGAGATACCAGGAAAATGAGACCCGATACAATCAGTTGTTGCCAACGGCAATATAGGGGCCATTAACGAGAATGGTAAAGGGAAAAATAAGAAAACCGTGAAAACGTATTTGTTGCTATGGCAATCAGAGGTGCTTGTGTGATTAGAGCAACATAATTATGTTGCATAATCATGTTTACAGTCAAAAGTAGTTGTTTGTTTAAAATGCGTTTTGCCGACACGATTTTATTTGTAATCTACATAATTTACTTTCCACCTCATGCTGTAGATGTTGAGCAGTGCTGTGATATTACCTGTCGGTGGATGAGGACAGAAATCAGTTTGATTGGTGTTGTCAGTCCTGCCTATCATTTAAACTAAATGTGCACGTTAACAGTGTCACTACTGAATAGATGCCACATTCACTCCAGTTCAAAACAACAGCAAAGTGCATGCAGTCTGTAGCCTTCTTAGAGCCTTGATGTAAACACGTGAGTGTCCACCAACTTGTAGCAGCTGACACAGCGAAATATCTCCTTACATTTTTATAATGGACATAATAAAAAGTATTTTTTCCCTATCATGCGTCCTTATATCATCCTCACTTGGCTTTCCATTTCCTTACTGTCTGCCTCGCTCTTTCTTTTCCTCTCCCTTTCTTTTTCGTTGCCCTTGTCATCTAACAAGGAGACAGTGACAATGAGTGCTTGTGTCCTTGGACATGGAGAAAAGCTCTACTATTGACTGGCATGATGAGCTGCTCTTTCCTTGTTCCTTCCCCACAATCCCCATAATCCCTCTGTCTAAGCTGCCAACACGACACACACATCAGGACCACAGGGGCATTAGATGGGAGGCCTGGGGGGCTGTCGCCGCTTATTATATCAGTGCACAAACAGGACCATGCCTTCACTTACTGACACGCACACACATACACATACATATGCATAGAGAAGGGTGGAACGCAGCAGATGAGCAGAAGCACAAAGAGATACCCATGAACTCCAGAATAGGCGCACACACTCATATGCATGTGTACGCACAGAGTATGGCGTTTCACACATATGCTAACACCTATGATGGGTCCTGTCAAGGGCTGCACCACAGGCCTGGGATGAGAGAATATTTTGTTGTCTCCAAAGGTCACACAGTTGCATCTTACTCTCTGTTGGCACAAGAGCAAACTGACACATTTGTAAAGGCTGAATCCATACCGTTGATTATCTTTCTTTCTCTGGCTCCTTCCTGACCTTTCAGCTGGTCCCGAAGGAGGAGGATGATATCTCTTTCTCTCTCCTTAGAGACTGGCATGC